TTTTCGTTTCTTTTTCGATCTTTTTCGTAAGCTTTTGAGTTTTAACTAGAGTATTAACTATAAATAATAAGCTAATAAACCAAACAACTCAACGCGTCATGAACAAAAGATTGGAATTCGGAATAGTAATAATATCCGTATATTTAATATTCATTATTTATATTGGTCCGTGGTCGAATTATTATAGACATTTTATTAATCAAACATAGATAAGAATAAATTTTCACGATACAATGACGTATATCGTTACTTAATTAATTCCAAAAATGAATCTAATAATAATTTTCATAGCCACCGCGGCTGCAGTCGGACTATCCCAGTTTTATTATTATATATTGTAACGTATTGTTTCCTTCGTTTTCAGCTATTGGTAACGATTGTGGCGTTAAAATAACAAAATATAGTTTAACATAAACACAACATTTTTAGAAGTCCTGGGTGTGTATGGTCACCTACCCGCCCTGCCAGTCCGCCCCTGCTTTTTTTACTTTTTCTTTTTGCTGTTTTTACCTTTTCTGAACAATCGTATTTGTCATCTAAAAGGTAGATTTACTAATTACCATATGATGTCCAAATTATACAATATAGAAACAATATTGGTCAAGTTACTGGACTTACTGGATTGGCTTTTCTTAACATAAACCGAAACTATGATATAAACATGGAAGAAATTATAAATACATTTTCCAGATTATCATGAAAGTGGAATTTCGTACTTTAATAGGTATTAAGTTTTACATCAAATGATACCTAACCTAATTAATTTTTTCGACTATTTATTATTTATTTAAACGAATTTCATCTACACGCAGTGATGTATTGCTAAAATAAATCATGGGTATATGCTTTATTTCATGTAGTAACTATCATATGGTAGGAATCAATAAAACTCACTCATGAACTACACATCCTAAATTATGACTATTTCATAACAGAAACTTGTTGTTAAATTGTAACAAATTTGAATTATTCATTAAAAAAAAAAAAAAAAAAAAAATAGTAATACCTAATATATCCGATACCGAATCACGTCATAAATATAACCACAAATTAAGTCAGTAAAGGTATTATGTAGTTATTTGTCAAATTACAAGCTATACATTACATATGGCTGTATACCCGCTTATCATAAATTTCTCAAAAACTATACGCTATGGATAAGAATAGCGTATTGGGTATACGCCGTATACCTCCATATACCCTCCAATACAACACTGTCTACACGTAATAAAATACATGTAATTTTCATTATTATACATTTTTTTATGAACCTCACCAATTTTTTTCTTTCGTGAATGTGCCTGATGATTAGTTATCATTATTAAATATTAATTATAAAAAATTATTATGAATATTAATCGTTGACATGGTGTTTACTTTTTATTCCTTAACGATTATCAACAAGTCTACAACACTCAACAATTGTTAGAACCAAACTAATCGATATTCGCTATAATAACGATAACCGTATTCACAGAACATATTTTCAGTGATATAAATAGATGTTCGTGGTTTTAACGCAGAATAAATAGAAAGGAATCGAATTCATAGTCCGATAATGGTCAATCCGATAAATCCGATAAGCTCCTATTGGAGCTATTGGAGTTATTACTCGTAGACATACTGCCCATACTGATAAATTCAGACAATCACAAGATTACAATTGTAATCATTATTCATTACTTTGGTAAATTTCGTTTTAAAATTAGTTTTATTTGATAATAAAACTGGACAAAAAGCGTTCTGAAAGAAGTTTGGCAGGACAATAGGACACAACGCTGAAATAAAGGACAATCCTGTAAAAAAGAGGACGTATGGTCAGTGGCGTACATTCAATCTTGCTCTGGGGGGGGGGGGGGGGGGGG